GAGCCCGCGACGGCATCTGCCTTGCGGGATTTATATAAAGGGGACGCTGATTAGTTGGGGGTGCGGGGGCAACGTCCCCGCGGTACGGTACAGGGGTATTTTTGTAAATACGTACATATTAGGATTATATAAATACTTAAGATGTAACCCTATTCTATAATGGAAAATAACGGCCGCTCGCTCTCGTGGATGTAGGCACATTGCCGAACCACGTAAATTTCTGTGTGTTATTTTTTCCTGCTTTCCCAATTGTTTGATTCCTTACTATTCACCATAATTGCTGCACGATCACAACAGTAGGTTATTTGTGTGTTCTTGTGCGTGTATTTTTTCATCCACATGATGTCTTGTAGTTCTCTACCCTTCCTAACGAATAGGATGGTTTATCTGTTATAACAAACATAAATTTTACATTGCTTCTGCAAAAGAGTTGATGCGAATTGATGGCACAACACGGTCTTCAGTTGCAAGCCATCTAGCTGAATCCATGGCGGGAACAATGACCATCAGAGCTTTTGGAGAGGAAAATCGATTCTCCACAGAGCATTTGCACCTTATCGATGCAAATGCTAGTCCATTTTTCCATAATTTTTCAGCAAACGAGTGGTTGATCCAGCGCCTGGAAGTATTATGTGCAATCGTTCTCTCATCCTCAGCCCTTGCCATGACTCTGCTTCCTTTTCAAGCTTCTGACTCAGGTTACTGATCTCTATCTTGACCGGTACAAAATTCTCTCATATTTTCTTGCTGCTCAGTTATTTTTATTGTCTGCTGCGTGCATCGCATAATACAAAGGTGACTTAACTTGATTGAGTGACATAAAAGAGAACAATCAAAAATTACATTTATCATTTCAATAATTTCCTTTTAAACTTTTGGGTCATCGATGTTGTGATGGCAGGATTAATCGGAATGGCTCTGTCATATGGTCTTTCACTGAATGTGTTCGTCGTTATTTCTGTCCAAAGCCAGTGCATGCTATCAAATTTGATTGTTTCTGTGGAAAGGTTAGAACAATACATGCATATTCCCAGTGAAGCTCCTGAAACCATAGAAGGCCACAGGCCTTCCCTCAACTGGCCAACTGTTGGTAGGGTGGAGATCCATGATTTGAAGGTAAATAGAGCATCACATAATCATTTTCTTCTGTCTATTTTGCGAGTTCCAGACTTATGGATATCGATGTGCCAACAAATTACATAAAACAGTTCAAATATTGGCCTAATGCTCCTCTAGTTCTTCGCGGAATCAGCTGCATTTTTGAAGGTGGGCACAAAATTGGAATTGTTGGCCGGACTGGCAGTGGGAAGACAACTTTGATTAGTGTCTTGTTTCGCCTGGTAGAGCCTACAGATGGAAAGATCATCATCGATGACCTAAATGTATCTACAATCGATCTTCATGACCTTAGATCACACTTTGGGATCATTCCACAAGATCCAACCCTTTTTAGTGGATCTGTAAGATATAATTTGGACCCCTTATCTGAACATACTGATCATGAAATATGGGAGGTAAGGTTTATGTTTGTAACATTAATTGGAGGGAAAAAAATTACTTTACAATTTACTGTCAAAAGCTTATTGTAATCTCTGTCAGTGAAAGGTTCTAAAAAAATGCCGGCTACGAGAAACTGTTCTAGAGAAAGTGGAGGGCCTAAATTCCTTAGGTAAGTAGGACCGTGTATAGAAATGCAAGCCTTTAGAAATCATGTTCTAATATTACTAAAAACGCGACATTGCAGTGGTACAAGATGGATCAAATTGGAGTATGGGACAACGGCAATTATTTTGCCTAGGACGAGCCTTGCTGAAAAGGAGGAAGATATTAGTGTTGGATGAAGCCACTGCATCAATTGACAATGCAACAGATTCAATCATCCAAAAAATCATAACAACAGAATTTACAGACTGTACTATAATTACAGTAGCTCACATAATATCAACTGTGATGGACTGCACTATGATTCTTGCTATTAGCGATGGTGAGTTCTTTGTTCAAAAGGTTGTGTTAAGAAAGAAAATGAAAAATGTTGTGTTATCTTTGAAAAACCTTGCATAACATTGGTAGAGTTTTTTTTTTTTTTTTTGCTTTAACAGGAAGATTAGTAGAGTATGACAAACCAATGAAGCTATTTAATAAGGAGGGCTCACTATTCGGGCAACNATTAGTAGAGTATGACAAACCAATGAAGCTATTTAATAAGGAGGGCTCACTATTCGGGCAACTTGTGAAGGAGTACTGGTCTCATTCCAGAAATGCTAGCGGGTTCTCAGAAGATTGGTAGTGAAGTTATTTTTTTTATTTCTGTCTTCATGAAAAGGAGGAGGAACATTTGCTATTAACCCACGCAAAGTTAACTTCAATCTGTGGCCCACGGCCTCAGTAAGGTTAGAATTTAATAGCACGTGAAATCCATATAAAATTTGTGAATTTTATATTTATTTATGGAAATTGTTGGGTTATANTCAATCTGTGGCCCACGGCCTCAGTAAGGTTAGAATTTAATAGCACGTGAAATCCATATAAAATTTGTGAATTTTATATTTATTTATGGAAATTGTTGGGTTATAAATGACTAAATTTGTTTAACTCATCACATAAATATTATGGTTAATTGTAAATTATACCTCAAATCGTTCAAATTTTAATTTACACCCCCAAAGATAAAAAATTTTAATTTATACCTTCAAAGATATAAATTTATATCAATGTGTACCCCCAAAGATCAAAAATTTCAATTTATACCCTCAAAGATAAAAATTTGTATCAATGTGCACCCCAAAGATCAAAAATTTTAATTTACACCCTCAANCTCAAAGATAAAAAATTTTAATTTATACCTTCAAAGATATAAATTTATATCAATGTGTACCCCCAAAGATCAAAAATTTCAATTTATACTCTCAAAGATAAAAAATTTGTGTCAATGTGCACCCCAAAGATTAAAAATTTTAATTTACACCCTCAAAGATAGATATTTGTATCAATGTGCACCTAAAACTAACCGTCGTCAGTTTACTATCTAAAATTAAATTAATAAATTATACCTAGATCATCTCATGATTGTCACTTAATCATTTAGATCTCTTTATATTTAAAAAATTATTCTTACATCTCATGACGTTTGTGCACGTGTAACACGTAACCTTTTTTAGTTGATATCTATTAATATAACCGTTAAAAAATATGATTTTATCATAATAAAAAATTATAATTTCATATTACCCTTTATTTTGTGGGTCCGATATACTTTAAAGTTCAAAATTAAACTTACCATTTAAATGTCCAATAAAATGTAGGTATTTATATAATATTTTTTTTATATCCAATGCAATATATTACTTAAACATAATTACATGAATACCCAATTTATGGGACATTTTAAATTGAGAATNTATAATTTCATATTACCCTTTATTTTGTGGGTCCGATATACTCTAAAGTTCAAAATTAAACTTACCATTTAAATGTCCAATAAAATGTAGGTATTTATATAATATTTTTTTATATCCAATGCAATATATTACTTAAACATAATTACATGAATACCCAATTTAGGGGACACTTTAAATTGAGAATNATAAAATGTAGGTATTTATATAATATTTTTTTATATCCAATGCAATATATTACTTAAACATAATTACATGAATACCCAATTTAGGGGACACTTTAAATTGAGAATATTTTTATTAGGATTTTATAACCGTTAAAAAATATGATTTTATCCTAATAAAAAATTATAATTTCATATTACATTTTATTTTGTGAAGGGATCCAAATAANATTTTATCCTAATAAAAAATTATAATTTCATATTACCTTTTATTTTGTGAAGGGATCTAAATGANAGAATATTTTTATTAGGATTTTATAACCGTTAAAAAATATGATTTTATCCTAATAAAAAATTATAATTTCATATTACATTTTATTTTGTGAAGGGATCCAAATAATTGAGTGATAAGTATAAGGAGATCTAGGTGTAATTTATCAATTTAGTTTCAATCAGCAAATTGAATGTAGTTAGTTTTAGGTGCATATTGAAATAAATTTATATCTTTAAGGGTACAAATTAAGATTTTTAATCTTTAAGGGTGCACATTAATACAAATTTTTNATAATTGAGTGATAAGTATAAGGAGATCTAGGTGTAATTTATCAATTTAGTTTCAATCAGCAAATTGAATGTAGTTAGTTTTAGGTGCATATTGAAATAAATTTCTATCTTTAAGGGTACAAATTAAGATTTTTAATCTTTAAGGGTGCACATTAATACAAATTTCTATCTTTGAGGATACAAATTGAGATTTTTTTTCTTTGAGGGTACACATCGATACAACTTTATATCTTTGAGGGTGTAAATTAAGATTTTTGATCTTTAAGAGTAGAAATTGAGATTCAAATAATTTTTTGGGATATAATTTACAATTAACCCTAAATATTATATAAACTAGCAAATCATATTTATCCAGAGTAAGAAAGAAATCGATGTAAGCATGAGNGTGTAAATTAAGATTTTTGATCTTTAAGAGTAGAAATTGAGATTCAAATAATTTTTCGGGATATAATTTATAATTAACCCTAAATATTATATAAACTAGCAAATCATATTTATCCAGAGTAAGAAAGAAATCGATGTAAGACAAATCGAGCATGCGNAGCAGGCGGCTTGGAGGAGAGTTGTGAGGTTGGCGATGCTCAAAGGTATTAGCACTCCGGGTATGAGTGCTAGTCTTCAGTATTTCGATACATATAGGCGTGCCAGGCTTCCCGCGAATCTTGTTCAGGCTCAGAGGGACTATTTTGGGGCACATACCTATGAGAGGATTGATCGTCCTGGATCTTTTCATACTGAGTGGTCGAAGCTTGCTCGGAAGTAGAAAGATTTCAATGGAGATCTGGTATCATTGGCTCATTTCATTGGCCTTTTTGAGGCTTCTATATGAATTATTGTATTTCATGTTAAGGAATTGCTGCTTAGACATAGCAATTGTTCTTTAGCCTTTGCGTTATATTTTTGCAGGGAATAAGTAGTTCATGCCTTTTGAGGGTTTCTTGGATTTGATATCTTCATATCATTGCTTTTATGACAGCCGAGAAGACAAAATTTCTCTGATCTTTTTGAATGGTATTTGATTCTGCTTCTTGTTATTTATCCCTCTTCTCCCGTTAGTGATATATTCAATTTAGTAATTAAGATCATATTCTCATCTATACCTGAGTGTCCACGTTTCACTCTTGAAAGGATTGTGAAGCCTTGTTCTATCCGGCTATGGGTTACAAGAACATAGGGATTGCTAACCTGCCTTTGCGGGGAAGCCTTCTCCCTCCCAGGCTAAAAAGTATAGGTAGCCATTGCCTTCAATACATGTCACCTTGGATTTGCTAGGTATTCCGAGCAGTCATTCTCATCCATGTTGCTAACGTTTCATCTTCAAACAAGAGCAAGTGGGCTTGTTCAATATGACACCAGTTAAACTTAGGTGGAACATGTCCAGCAACAAAAGACAGTCATTTTTTGACTTGCATATATATTCTAGACTAGATAGAAGAAACCTTGAAGAACTCAGTGGAAAATCTTGAAGCTTAACCACTTGTCATATGTGCTAAGAGTGAGATGAGTTCTTGAATTCGAAAGAGACTTGGTCGATATGTGTTAAGTTTATTGAATTGTTTTGGTGGGGTTTTGGGAGGAAAGAAAAAAGGAAGCTCAAGGCCATGTTTGGTTTGTGATCCGGAAACAGTTTTTTGTTCTAAAAATTTCAAAAACACTCAAAACATTTTTGTTTTCTAAATTTTGGAAAAAAAATGATATTTGAGTCAAAGAAACAAAAAATAAGTGTAGCTTGTTTTAAGAGTTTTCTTTGAAAATTTTAGAAACAAGAAGAACAATTTTTGATCTTCAAGTGTATATATATATATATATATATATACTTGTCATAACATGTGTCTGAAGTCACAATAAAATATAAAATTCGAGCGTCTAAAAAATCGATCTCATTATATTAATTTTTTTCAAAATATATTAACTGTAAATTAATCAAATATTAAATAATTAAATATATTATAGAAATGAGTGATGTGATATTTTTAAGAAAGAAATATATAAATAATTAAACATATAATAGAAATAAGTGATGCGATTTGACGTTTAAGTCTGATAAAGGGATGATGGATGAAGTAAGTAATTGATGATGGTTTTGAGAGAAAAAATTTTATTATATAGATATATATTTTTATGAAATTGTTAATCTAAAAATAACTTTTTTATATTTTTTTAATTAATGTTTGAATTACTGTTCAAATATATATTTAGGTTGTCAAAACATGTTTTACTATTTTCCGTATTGTAAAATTGTTTTTGAAATTATCTAATCAAACAAGTTTTTTATTTCAAAAAATATCAAAATCACTTTCTCAAAACTCTTTTCAAAAAAAAATTTCAGATATTATTTTTTGAAACGCAAACTGAACATGCCCCAAATTTCTGGGATCATCTGTTGAGCCTCCTTCTTATACTTTGCATGAACTAAGGGTTTGCCCCTGTTTTGGCAGGTTTAATGTATTACATTTAGTTGGAAAAAAGTTCAGAGGTCATTAATGATGCAATTTTAATCCAAGAGGAATAACGTATGCCTTGGTAGGTGGGCAGAATCTCCAGTCACAAGCTNAGTAATTGTAAATGGATTCCATTTAATAATGCAACGCAAAAACCCAATCACCGGAGTTGGGATGGTTTTCCATGTAAACGGAGTTGTACTAATTTTTTGTAACTCATTCATTAAAAGGATCTAATCTGGTTAAGCACTGTAGTTTTGTCGTTTCAGCCTTAGGAATCGTCGTCAATATCCTCTTCGCTGCCTCGACGATTCCGTCACTCTCACCCTCTACCACGAGCTTTACGATCTGCAACTATATTATTCCTATAAAAACTCCTATATACCGAACCCCTTCTCGCTCTCTCTCTATCATTTCCAAACCCATCATTCTCTCTCTAAACCTACCACCATCGCCATGGAAGCTGCCTCTCCAGCTCTCTCCCACATTGGCCTAGCAGGTCTAGCTGTGATGGGTCAAAACCTCGCCCTGAACATCGCCGAAAAGGGCTTCCCAATCTCCGTCTACAATCGAACAATTTCCAAAGTCGACGAAACCCTAGATCGAGCCCAAAGGGAAGGCAAACTACCATTAATCGGTCAGTACACGCCCCGTGATTTTGTCCTCTCCATTGAGAAGCCTCGGTCTATTATCATCCTCGTTAAGGCCGGTGCTCCCGTTGATCAGACTATCGCCGCCCTTGTGGCCCACATGGACGCCGGCGACACCATCATCGACGGTGGCAATGAGTGGTACGAGAACACCGAGCGCCGCATCCAAGAGGCCCAATCCAAAGGCCTTCTTTATCTGGGTATGGGCGTTTCGGGTGGCGAAGATGGTGCTCGTCACGGCCCGTCTTTAATGCCAGGCGGGTCATACCAAGCGTACATGAACATCAAAGACATTTTAGAGAGAGTCGCTGCTCAAGTTGAAGATGGGCCTTGTGTTACCTATATCGGAGAAGGTGGGTCGGGCAATTTCGTGAAGATGGTACATAATGGAATTGAGTATGGTGATATGCAGCTAATTTCGGAGGCCTATGATGTGTTGAAGAATGTTGGAGGGCTTTCCAATGGCGAATTGGCGGAGATTTTTAGTGAGTGGAATAAGGGGGAGTTAGAGAGTTTCTTGATCGAAATCACAGCTGATATTTTCAGAGTGAAGGATGAAGATGAGGGTGATGAATTGGTGGATAAGATTTTGGATAAGACTGGGATGAAAGGGACCGGAAAGTGGACTGTTCAGCAGGCGGCGGAGTTATCAGTGGCCGCGCCCACCATTGCAGCCTCCTTGGATATCAGGTATATGAGTGGGTTGAAGGAAGAGAGAGAGGCGGCTTCCAAGGTTTTTAAGGAGGCGGGTTTGGTTGAGGAGGTTGAAAATGTGAAGGGAGAGGCTGTTGACAAGAAGATGTTGATTGATGATGTGAGGCAGGCGTTGTATGCGTCGAAGATTTGTAGTTATGCTCAGGGGATGAATTTGCTGAGGGCGAAGAGTGTGGAAAAAGGGTGGAATTTGAATTTGGGTGAATTGGCAAGGATTTGGAAAGGTGGGTGTATTATAAGGGCGGTCTTTTTGGATCGGATTAAGAAGGCGTATCAACGGAATCCAAACTTGGCAAATTTGGTGGTGGATCCAGAGTTTGCGAGGGAGATGGTGCAGAAGCAGGCGGCTTGGAGGAGAGTTGTGAGGTTGGCGATGCTCAAAGGTATTAGCACTCCGGGTATGAGTGCTAGTCTTCAGTATTTCGATACATATAGGCGTGCCAGGCTTCCCGCGAATCTTGTTCAGGCTCAGAGGGACTATTTTGGGGCACATACCTATGAGAGGATTGATCGTCCTGGATCTTTTCATACTGAGTGGTCGAAGCTTGCTCGGAAGTAGAAAGATTTCAATGGAGATCTGGTATCATTGGCTCATTTCATTGGCCTTTTTGAGGCTTCTATATGAGTTATTGTATTTCATGTTAAGGAATTGCTGCTTAGACATAGCAATTGTTCTTTAGCCTTTGCGTTATATTTTTGCAGGGAATAAGTAGTTCATGCCTTTTGAGGGTTTCTTGGATTTGATATCTTCATATCATTGCTTTTATGACAGCCGAGAAGACAAAATTTCTCTGATCTTTTTGAATGGTATTTGATTCTGCTTCTTGTTATTTATCCCTCTTCTCCCGTTAGTGATATATTCAATTTAGTAATTAAGATCATATTCTCATCTATACCTGAGTGTCCACGTTTCACTCTTGAAAGGATTGTGAAGCCTTGTTCTATCCGGCTATGGGTTACAAGAACATAGGGATTGCTAACCTGCCTTTGCGGGGAAGCCTTCTCCCTCCCAGGCTAAAAAGTGTAGGTAGCCATTGCCTTCAATACATGTCACCTTGGATTTGCTAGGTATTCCGAGCAGTCATTCTCATCCATGTTGCTAACGTTTCATCTTCAAACAAGAGCAAGTGGGCTTGTTCAATATGACACCAGTTAAACTTAGGTGGAACATGTCCAGCAACAAAAGACAGTCATTTTTTGACTTGCATATATATTCTAGACTAGATAGAAGAAACCTTGAAGAACTCAGTGGAAAATCTTGAAGCTTAACCACTTGTCATATGTGCTAAGAGTGAGATGAGTTCTTGAATTCGAAAGAGACTTGGTCGATATGTGTTAAGTTTATTGAATTGTTTTGGTGGGGTTTTGGGAGGAAAGAAAAAAGGAAGCTCAAGGCCATGTTTGGTTTGTGATCCGGAAACAGTTTTTTGTTCTAAAAATTTCAAAAACACTCAAAACATTTTNCATGTTTGGTTTGTGATCCGGAAACAGTTTTTTGTTCTAAAAATTTCAAAAACACCCAAAACATTTTTGTTTAGCATTTTTGTTTTCTAAATTTTGGAAAAAAAAATGATATTTGAGTAAAAGAAACAAAAAATAAGTGTAACTTGTTTTAAGAGTTTTTTTTTGAAAATTTTAGAAACAAGAAGAATAATTTTTGATCTTCAAGTGTATATATATATATATATATATATATATATATATATATACTTGTCATAACCTGTGTCTGAAGTCACAATAAAATATAAAATTCGAGCGTCTAAAAAATTAATCCCATTATATTAATTTTTTTCAAAATATATTAACTGTAAATTAATCAAATATTAAATAATTAATATATTATAAAAATGAGTGATGTGATATTTTTAAGAANTTTTTCAAAATATATTAACTGTAAATTAATCAAATATTAAATAATTAATATATTATAAAAATGAGTGATGTGATATTTTTAAGAAAGAAATATATAAATAATTAAACATATGATAGAAATAAGTGATGCGATTTGACGTTTAAGTCTGATAAAGGGATGATGGATGAAGTAAGTGATTGATGATGGTTTTGAGGGAAAAAATATGATTGGGATAAAATTTTATTATATAGATATATATATTTTTATGAAATTGTTAATCTAAAAATAACGTTTTTATATTTTTTTAATTAATGTTTGAATTACTGTTCAAATATATATTTAGGTTGTCAAAACATGTTTTACTATTTTCTGTATTGTAAAATTATTTTTGAAATTATCTAATCAAACAAATTTTTTATCTCGAAAAATATCAAAATCACTTTGTCAAAACTCTTTTCAAAAAAAAATTTCAGATATTATTTTTTGAAACGCAAACTGAACATGCCCCAAATNTCAAAACTCTTTTCAAAAAAAAATTTCAGATATTATTTTTTGAAACGCAAACTGAACATGCCCCAAATTTCTGGGATCATCTGTTGAGCCTCCTTCTTATACTTTGCATGAACTAAGGGTTTGCCCCTGTTTTGGCAGGTTTAATGTATTACATTTAGTTGAAAAAAAGTTCAGAGGTCATTCATGATGCAATTTTAATCCAAGAGGAATAACGTATGTCTTGGTAGGTGGGCAGAATCTCCAGTCACAAGATTATCAAATGTTGGCTCCAGGTTGTATTGTTATTGTTTATTTCTGCCATGGCCTGCATATTAATTAGAGTTTTTAAAGTTTTAGTTTNTTATCAAATGTTGGCTCCAGGTTGTATTGTTATTGTTTATTTCTGCCATGGCCTGCATATTAATTAGAGTTTTTAAAGTTTTAGTTTGTTTTTCGTCTCTGTTTCTTTGTAGTTTACTGTTAAAGTCCTCAATAGGATATTTTTCAGGCATCTTGATTCACTTCTAATCATAAGAAACGAACATGTAATGCACCTGTAAAGAAATCTGAGATACTAATGTAACACAAGAAATGGAAGCTAGAACAACTTTCGAAGGCCCGTTTGTTCAAGGATTGGATGAGTTCTTGTTACTTTTGCAGTGTGTATTTTACTGTTAATAATCCAAATTGTCTCAAGAACCATTCCTTCATCGGTTTATCTTTCCAGTTCCTGAGTTTTCTTACTGTCAACAGTCTAACAAGGGCCATTCCAACAACATCCACCATAATTAGGCCATGAAATCCAAGAACATATCCAATAACCCACAAATCCCATGCTCTGCTTCCTCCTGAACAGAGCAACTATTGAGAAATGGCTGCAACTCGTACTGTTACTAAGAGAAACCTTCCCATAGCAATTAAATGTAGCACAAAGCTGGCAGGCCTGAGCTGACGCATTGGAAAACCCCTGCTCTAGCTCTTGGTAATTCAGACCAACAAAACAAAGATGGACTGTAAATTTGACTACGTGTGCCCAAGAGCCAGCTCTATTCAAAAGGTTTGATTGGCGTAGAATGAAAGTCATGAGCCAGCCCACGAGGAGTCCATCTGAACTCTGGCTTCATCCAAATCACTAAACCGCAATGAGGAACTATATATTCATCAATCAGGAACTGCTTTTCTTGGTCCCCTATTTCCAGTCTGGAGGAGAATGGGAGAATAAACAATCAAACAGGGACAAAGTGAAGACAGTGAACTGTACTGATGCACATTTAACAATCAATACAAAGTAACTGTTGCTCAAGTTGCTCGACTAATGTCCCTTCAACTAATCCACACAATGTTCAAAAAAAAAAAAAACTAATCCACACAAACTCATTTTAGTCCCAGTGAGACTTGGCAGAATCCATGGAACATTAAGCATTCAGCCCTTCAAACCAATCTGTATCTAGCTCTACCCATCATCTAAAAGGACAGAAGAGCTGTTAGCAAAGAAAAATAAGCAAAAGACTAGTCTCCTTGCAATGACTCATTGCCTGATTGTGAGCTCAGCCCTAAGAGGAAGGATCCCATTGATGAAATAACAGCAGTCATCGGCCATAAATGCAATCCAAGGTATAACAAACAAATTCCGAAACCCAACAACCTTCCCTCCAGTGAAGGCATGATACCCTTTATACTTGCTCAAATACTCCTCAGTCGGCTTGACCTTGCCGCAAACTCATAGTCTACTGGAAAAGTCGCTGACCCCTTCTTATCTTGCATGCCCAAAAATAGCCCAAAGCAACGGTAAGAGCTTTGTTGGTACATGTTGCATTGGGCAGACAGGAAAAATCCTTGCCCGCCAAGATTGAAAGCCTGTGAGTATACCCTGCCAGCTGGAAACAACTGTGCACACTGTTCCCGCTTCAGATCCAGATACACAACACATTGCTGACGAGGCAGTCCAAACTCCACCACCTTGGGAGGTACTTGTATGCACGCTCCACAAAGCGACGATACAATGCATTGACGGCCTCTGCAGCGAGTGAGCGCTGCTGGTATGGTGCCTCAGCCTTGAAAAATAGAGCCTCAAACACAACCTGCGACACAAATTCTTTTTTTTGATCAGGTCCTTCGATACAAATTCAGGGTCAAAGTCATTGCATGTTGGCACTTACTTCAGCTTTCGCCAGGTCATGTATGAGAAACGAATAAGGCGAGCAAGTGGTGTCCCTAGGATTTCTCGCTGCTCCTGCAGTTTCGAGTAATAGGTTCGGGCCCACTTGAGCACAAAATCATAAACAGCATCCTCGGTAGCTACCTGAAGTTCATCACTGGATAGTGCTGCCTCAATGCCGGCCAAAGGCAAGCTCTTCACCTGTTCTTGAAACCTGGTAAAAGAAGCAAAAATCACAATCTTAACTTGATCTCCGATTGTGGTTATTAAGGCCTGATCGCAGGTCTAAATCCAAGCTCCAGGCATCAGCCACACAAGCCACAAGTTAATGTGAGCTAGCAAGCAACTAGAGGATACGAAGAGTTGAGAAATTATAGGCCAAAAATGATTTAAAAAGTTGGAAAGTAGTATGGGCAAATCCAAAGTCAACAGAGCCTACCCCAACCCTCTCACCCCCCCATCCCCACAACACACACACTAAATAAATAAATAAAAGGGCTTTTTCATCATGCCAAAATTGCAGGCATATGATACTTCCCCAAACTTCTGTTCTTACATAGAAACAACTGTAGGAAATTGCTGGTGATGCTAACAAAGAGAGCCAATTCTTCACCACCTTAGTTTTTCACCTCATTCAAAAACCTAATAGAACTTTCAAATTTTCAATCAAGCCATACTAAAAATAAAACAATATAAGTTTATGCTGTCAAAGAAAGCTCACTTAGTTATATCCTTGAACCATCCAGCAAGAAACTGCTTCGCCACTTCTGTCAGGGGCTGAACTGCTTGAGCCGTTAAAAGAGTAGAAGGAAGACCCAAATACAGGAACGCAGCCTCACAAGTCATAGGTAACTTTTGCAACAACTGGTTGCACTATCTCATGCATGAAGCAACCTCAAATTTGTCAGCAGCCATCAACACATCCAGCAAAGCATGTGGTGTGGTGGTTGATAAAGAATTGCTATGCATAAAATTCAGGAGGTCCATCAGGGCTGCTCCTTCTGCTCGACAGTTATTTGTGAGGAACAAGGGAGTGAGTTAATGTTGCCTGGTCAACATTTACCTTTTAGGTCAAAAGAAAAGTAAAACCAATGAATCGGCTCGAGTGACAAAAAGTGGAGACTGCAAATGAGATCGCGGAATGTCAAAATTACCACATGAATGAAAAGGGTTCACATTATTTCCATGTGAACCACTTAGGATTTTCATATCCATTGAACCGATTATTGCATAAGCCAATTGAACAAACTAGGAAACAATCAGAATATTTACCACAGGCATGCATCCGCAGAGTTACATGTTGCTGGTCAGCATCTTTCATACCATTCGAGAACAACTACAAAAATAAGCCCAGTATCAACAAGCATGTTAAGATAGCAAAGATCGAAATGCAGACTCCTTACCTTATAAAAAAATGGACTCTTGGCTGCCAAAATTGGAGAGCTAATGTGTATAGTCTTTACTTGAAGAACTGTTGAGCCATCCCCGCTCCTTGACGAATCATTGCCCTGAACAGATTCATCACCTGCCAAAGTATGTAGTACACTATAAAATGTACCAAGACCAACTAATATCTCGAATACACGATTTAAACCATTACTGTCAAATGAAATTTAGCTACAGCAAAATTATGAACATCATGTTATATATATATAAGTAAATATATATATAGTTATTTACTAATAGTGATACATTAATTAATAAATCATCATTTGCATGAAGTGACATAAACATTAAATACATGTATATATAAGAGTATATATATAGTATACATAAAGTACAATAGTACATTCTAGATTGAAATTGGTAGGAAAGTGAAATTTTTCACTTCCCTTCAAAATATTTGGAGAATATGAGTTGGAGGGCAAAGACATGAATCCCATATTGGTTCTTGGAGGTTCTTAATGGATTCATCTTCATCTATAAATAGAAGAAGAACTTCATTCTCCACTCAAAGTCTCAAGGAATCCTCTTAAAGAGGAGGTCTACATAATGAGAACTTCAAGTTATAATTTTGTATATGTATGTATATATATATATATATATATATATATATATANAGGAAAGTGAAATTTTTCACTTCCCTTCAAAATATTTGGAGAATATGAGTTGGAGGGCAAAGACATGAATCTCATATTGGTTCTTGGAGGTTCTTAATGGATTCATCTTCATCTATAAATAGAGGAAGTACTTCATTCTCCACTCAAAGTCTCAAGGAATCCTCTTAAAGAGGTGGTCTACATAATGAGAACTTCAAGTTATAATTTTGTATATGTATATATATATATATAGAAGAAGAAAAAATAAAAGGAGAGAGGCGACTCGCATTCGAACGTGTTTTGCTCCTAGTATTTTTTTCAGAATNACTTCATTCTCCACTCAAAGTCTCAAGGAATCCTCTTAAAGAGGAGGTCTACATAATGAGAACTTCAAGTTATAATTTTGTATATGTATGTATATATATATATATATATATATATATATATAGAAGAAGAAAAAATAAAAGGAGAGAGGTGACTTGCATTTGAATGTGTTTGCTCCTAGTATTTTTTCAGAATTTCAATTTCTGACAAAAATTGAGATATTGGGATTTTAGTTTGTTTGAACGCAACTTATGTTCGAATGTGACTTGCTCTCTGTATTTTGGCAGAAATCTTAGAATTGAGATATTGAGAGTTGAGGACGTTTGAACGTGAGAACCTTGTTCGAACGTGGGAACCTCGTTTGAACGTGACAGATATTTTGTTTAAATTAGTTTCTAATGACTATATTATTGTAGCTCTTTCAAAGGGTGTCTTTTGCCATAATTTTGAAGGGTTACATTCCTTTATTAAGAGTTACATAGAACACTATAAATAGGGTTCAAATGCAAGAACAAAGACTATGAATTTAATCATTCTTCTTCTTTTTAATTCAAAACTTCTATATTTTCTGATTTTCTATTCGGGTTGAGTTTTGATTCCAAGATTACAAAGGAATGCAGTCTTTGATAATTTTAAAGTTAGGCATTGTATCCTGGGGATAAAATTTCCAAGAGTCCATCTGCATCATTAGTGGAAAAATTATTATCTCGAAGATAGCGAGCGTCGCGCCTTGCCTAGCGACCTATCTTCTTCGATTTTCTCTTTGTTTTTCTACTACTTNACGTGTTTTGCTCCTAGTATTTTTTTCAGAATTTCAATTTTTGACAAAAACTGAGATATTGGGACTTCAGTTCGTTTGAATGCAACTTACGTTCGAACGTGACTTGCTCTCTGTATTTTGGCAAAAATCTCAGAATTGAGATATTGAGAGTTGAGGACGTTCGAACGTGAGAACCTTGTTCGAATGTGACAGATATTTTGTTTAAATTAGTCTCTAACGGCTATATTATTGTAGCTCTTTCAAAGGGTGTCTTTTGTCATAATTTTGAAGGGTTACACTCCTTTATTAAGAGTTGCATAGAACACTATAAATAGGGTTCAAATGCAAGAACAAAGACTATGAATTTAATCCTTCTTCTTCTTTTTAATTCAAAACTTCTATGTTTTCTGATTTTCTATTCGGGTTGAGTTTTGATTCCAAGATTACAAAGGAGTGCAGTCTTTGATAATCTTAAAGTTAGGCATTGTATCCTGGGGATAAAATTTTCAAGAGTCCATCTGCATCATTAGTGGAAAAATTATTATCTCGAAGATAGCGAGCATCGCGCCTTGCCTAGCGACCTATCTTCTTCGATTTTCTCTTTGTTTTTCTACTACTTGAAATTGTTTTACCACACTATTTTTCTACAACACATCAAATTTTCAGGAAGAAGATAAAAAAATCCAAAGAGATAATGCTAAAACCTGCTCTAATTAATGTTTTGTCATTAACATAGAGAATCTAGATCAACCAAATTCTCATGGAAGATAGAAGGATCTCAAGTTCGAATTGAGATAAAAAAAAAAAAAAAANGAAGAAGATAAAAAAATCCAAAGAGATAATGCTAAAACCTGCTCTAATTAATGTTTTGTCATTAACATAGAGAATATAGATCAACCAAATTCTCATGGAAGATAGAAGGATCTCAAGTTCGAATTGAGATAAAAAAAAAAAAAAAGAAAAGAAAGTATAAGGTTCACACAAATGGGGTTAAATACAACGAGATGCGTATTCATTCCAGGACCTGAAGGTGATTCCTCAATCATTGCCACAACTTCCTCATTTTGAATTTGATAGGGAACGCCATCTTCTGTATCAGGCATGTTATAGTTTGAAATTTGCTCATCCAGGTGCATGACCACATCCACAACTAAGGGTACAAAAGAAATTCTATCTAGGTCAGCAAAACAATATGGGAGTCAAAGCTTTATACATCCATGCATATCTTTACAACACTTGCCAGAAGGCGGGCCAGGCATCTAGACTGGTAATCAAAAAATTGGAGAAGGCTCTATTCTCAGTGAGAAACCAACTGAGAAAAGAAATACCTTGTAAAAACCAGAGAGAAATAAGCCAAGAGCAACATCAACACTTCTATGGGAAATGAAAGATGCTCGGTATTTGCAAAATGGAAAGCCCTCCCCTGATGTAGAGCAGCCTTTTCTTCCTTAGGTCCCACTTGATCATGTCCAAAAGTTATTGAAACTGGTTCCGATTCAGAAACATGTGGCTGAGGGAGGAGGTGGTTTCTGGATCTAGTTAGAGGATGGTCGGATGGTCGGATGGGTACAATTGTCAAGTCGCCAGTTTTTTTGGCTAAAAACTTAATTATGTTGAAGCACGCTTAAAAAGAGGCGGACCAAAGAATTGTCTAGCAACATTGGGTAGAGGACAACTAGACTTATGGAGGAAGGAAATCAAAGAGCTAGATCATCAAGAAGAGAATGGAGGCCTATTGATGGTAAAAACTGACAGTAGGGAGGAGACAAAAAGGGAGGTGCCAACAGATTGTCTATATCAGAGAAAGTGTGTAGAAGGCAAAAATCAAGAGCATTTTGGCTCAATGGCGCAATAACATTAAAGATTATCACAACGGCAAAGGCTTGTGTCAGCATGTTTGTGTCTTGTCATATTTGTGTCCCGTGTCCGTGTTTGTGTCCGTGTTCATGCTTCTTAGCTTCATAGTATTATAGTGGAGGATCGGGAGTAGATGGAAAGATCTTTCTTGGAAAGGAAGTAGTGGTTGTGCAATAGTAATGGGGATAAGGAGCTTGGACATGATCACAACTTTTCGACAATGTTGGCTGGGGAAAAGGAGGGAGACTGTAAAGGAAAACATTGTGCAGTGTTGCAATTTAATATAGATTCGAAAAAGGTCCAATGCCTTCAATCCCAAAAGAAGGACGAGTGGTGGAAATTTGAGATTTTAGACCCACCTTGGGTAAGTGAAAGGGATACAAACTAAGTGTAAAATCTCGTATATATAGTCAAACAATAAAGGTACAATAATGATAAAAAAGTAAAAAGAATGCAAAAAAAAAAAAACCTAATAAATTAGGCTACTATAATTTCAACACTCCCCCTCAAGGTAGGCGTAAAAATGTCAACTAAATCAAGCTTGACAATGGAGTTTCGAAGAACAGACAAAATGACAAGTTTGATGAAAACATTCATAACCTGATCACTGGTCCCCACAAATGATGAAGTGACAATACCACAGCTAATCTTCTCCCGAAGAAAGTGAACATCGATTTCTATATACTTCATCCTCTCGTGTAGTACAGAGTCAGGAGTGAGCTGAATAACAAATCAATTATCACAATACAATGTGGATGGAGAAGTCACTAGAAACTCCAACTTGTCAAAAATCGATCGTAACCAGATAATCTCACATGTACCAAGTGTCAGTGCCCGATACTCTGTTTCTGCTGACGAGCGGGAGACAACTGTCTGCTTCTTACACTTCTAAGAGATAAGATGAGTACCTCGAAAAGCACAAAAACCCATAGTAGATCGACCGTCACATGCTCCCTCATAATCTGAATCTGAATAACATGTTAGAGAACCAATTTGAGATCCTGATGCATAGAATAACTCAAGTCTAAGACAAGACTTGAGGTATCAAAGAATATGATAAACTGCATCAAGATGAGGCTAACATAGCCTGTGCATGAACTAACTAACTCAGTTGACAGCGAATGAAATATCTGACCTAGTTTTGGCTAAATATATAAGTTTACCTATCAACCTCTGATAAATAGTCGGATCAATCAACTCTTTATCTGTAGCAGTAAGTTTTAGGTTTGGAATCATTACTGATGATGTCGGTTTTCACCCCAGCATCCTAGTGTTCGAGAGAAGATTCAGAGCATACTTTCTCTAAGAAAAAACAATACCCCTGCTACTACGGGCAACCTCAATCCCAAGAAAGTATCGCAGAAATCTAAGGTCATTCACATCGAAGACCTTCCCAAGGTCTACCTTGACCTGTGCAATCCCAGAAATATCATCCCCAATAATAATAATATCATCCACATATACCAAAAGGATGACACACTACCTAGAAGTATTCCGTCGAATAAAACATGTATGATCAGAATGACATCTGGTGAACCCTAAACGTACAACTATATCACTAAACCGAGAGAACCAAGCTCGTGGTGCTTATTTCAGTCCATAAAGAGACTTACGCAGTCGACACACCTTCCCAACATACTCCCCCTTACCACGAAAGTTTAGTGATGCATCCATATAAATAATTTTGTCTATATCACCATAAAGAAATGCATTCTTCACATCTAATTGATGAAGAGGTCAAGAGTACTCCACAGCCAGAGAAATAATCAATCGAATAGTAGTCAATTTGCCATAGGGGCAAAGGTAGCACCAAAATCACGACCTGGTACCTGAGTAAAGCCTTTCACCACGAGCCTAGCCTTGTGACGATCAATAGTACTATCTGCAAGAAACTTTAGAGTGTAGACCCAACGATAGCCAACAGGCTTCATCCCTGAAGGTAAAGAGACAAGATCTCACGTATAATTACGCTGAAGAGTGTCCATCTCCGTTTACATTGCAAGAACCCACCAGAGCTTCCGCATAGCCTTTGAAACAGAGCAAGAAATCGGCGTATCTGATAAGGCCATGTTATAAGCTTGAAATGTAGGAAATAAATCACCATAAAAAATATAAGTAGAGATCGGATATAAAGTCCTGGTGGTCCAACCATAACAAACAATTGGACGGCGATCACGCCGCGGATAACGACGTCCTAAATCAACATCTTCCACTGACAATGTCTCATTAGAGAAAATAACTGGCTCAGTACCTACAATCTCATTAATACTAACAGCATGTGCATCAATATGCTCAACGAACTGAAAAGTATTACCTGCATCGCCTGAGGTAGAGGAGACATCAGCAGGAGATGAGAGCGAGGGCGACGAACATAAACCTGCAAAGGAAGAGAGACCGGTGACTCTGTACTGACAGGGATGAGTGGATCTAGAGGAGAAGAGACTGATGACTCTGTAGTGATAGTGACTACTAGCTCAGGCTCCTGTGGTAACGAAAAATCAAAGGGAGTATCATCAACTGGAGGGGTAGACACAGAACTGGAAGAAAAATAAAGAATATGCTCAAAAAATATAACATCTAGACTATGATACGCACGACGTTTAATAGGATCATAACACCAATACCCTTTTACACTGATGACAATCGTCCACAAAGACACAACAAATCGTTTTATCATCAAGCTTATGGCGAGTAGGAGACCGATTCTGAACAAAACACATGCAGCCAAAAACACGAGGGAGAACCAGAAAAAATGTCTGCTCAGGGAATAAGCCCTGTAAGGGAGTCCTATGCTAAAGAACACGACTCGATATACGATTACATAAAAAAGTAGAAGTCAAAACAGTAAAATGCCAATAAAATTTTGGTACAACCATATCTCTAAGCATACAACGTACCATCTCTATCAAACTCTTATTTTTCCTTTCAGCAACTCCATTTTACTCAGGAGTATATGAACAAGTGAGCTGCTAAAGAATACCTTGGGAAGAAAGGTGAGACACCAAAGTATCAGACACATATTCTTTGACATTATCCGAATGAAGAGCACGAACAATGACATCAAATTGTGTTTTAATCATCTGAAGAAACTGAGTGATGACAGATAGTACATCAGACTTCCTATGCAAAAGGTAGACTCAAGTACAATGGGTATGGTCATCTATAAATGTTACATAATATCGAGTACCTGACAAAGCAGTAACAAGAGATGGTCCCCAAATATCAAAGCATATTAGGTCAAATGGTTTGAGTGACTGGTGCATACGAGGAATATAACTGGTCCAAACATGTTTCGATAGGAAACATATAACACAATCAAGCTTACCACCAATACAAGCATTGCTCAAAGCAGGAAATAACAGACATAAATATTTAAAATTTGTATGCCCAAAGCAGTCATACCACAACTGAACAGTTTGTGATGAAAAATCATAATGACAATTATTAGGTAAAATACTAGCATGCAAGCTAGGAACAGATAAAGACAAAGCAGATGTAGGTGATAGAAGTAAAGGAATTGTTGAAACTATAGATGGATCGTCTAGATAATATAGTATATCTCTCTCATATCCCCTAATAATAATCCTCTTGGTACTCAAGTCTTATAAATAACACAAAACAGATAAGAACACAATCGCACAGTTAAAATCTCTGACTAACTGATATACAGATAATAGATTCATGGTCAGCTTTGGCGCATGAAAAATAGAATGTAATGTAAATCCATCTGAGAGGCGGAATGTACTTCTATCAACAATAGGGGCATGTGTCTCATCTACTATTTGAACTTATGTATGTAACTGCTCATCAAAAGTGGTAAAGTGATAGGCCTCACCTGTCATATGACCATTCTCACCCAAGTCCAGCATTCAAAAAGGAGACAGACTGACGCAAGCACGAAAAGCACGAGATATGCCTGTAGTGGTGCCAGTAGCAGTAGTTGAACCCTGAGAAGTCAAGGTGGACATAAGTATATCCAATCGAAAAGTGATAGCATCCATATCACTCTACCAAAGAGGAGCAACAGCAGAAATAGACACAGTAGGCGGTGGTATCTCAGCAATAGCAGCAGTACGGCCACGAAGAGGCGGCTTAAGCTCCGAATGGAGCTTCCAATAAGCAGCCCTGAGATGTCCTGGTCGGCCACAATAATCACACTGATGAGAATTCCTCCGTCTACGCTGATCTGGGTCTAAGCACTATCCACCTCTAACTGAGGATCCTGAACGAGACCCTGTAGCAGCTGCAAGGGTCATCTGGTCAGCCAGAGGAGTGGAGG